AAAGGTTGGGGCAGCTAGGCAGCACAGTGGATAGAACACCGGCCCTTGAGTTAGGAGGACTTGAGTTTAAATCCAGCCTTAAGCACTTACTAGCTATGTGACTCTGGGCCAGTCACCGAACCCCAATTGTCTCAAAAAAAGAGGTTAAAGGTGTTGCACAAATACATGTTGTTATCAATTTCAACAATTAATAATAATTTATTATATTATTATTAGCTCGGAAAATGTGAGCTCAACTCAAAGGAAGCTAGGTGGCTTAGTAGATAGAGTACTGAGCTTGGAGCTAGTAAAACTTGAGTTCAAAGCCAGCTTTAGCTACTTATTTCCTGTGTGACTGTGGTCAAGTCTCTTCATTTCAAATGGAGGGATTGGATTTGATGATCTCTAAGGTCCCTTCCAGTTTTAAATCTATGATCTTGTATTATTAGCCTTTGGGCATAAATGTCTTCCAGATCTTTTTTTACCCCTGGTCTTCTCTTTGGCTTTTCCAGGGTTCTGCTGCCATTGACTTTCTAGAATTTAGTAATGGCCCCTCTGGAAAACTAGAAGTCCATGGCCTTTCCTTCATCAAATCAGAGTTACAGCTGAATGATCGAGAGCAGTCTGGGCTGGGTGATGGGAGCCACTTGTCACTCAGAACACAACTATAGGGACACCATCTAGGATCATACTGCGTAGGAAAAATGGAGTCTGATTTGCTTCCTGCATCAACATCCATCTTAGTCTTCTAAGGTAGCCCAACACTATAGGATGTTGTATAAAAAGAAGCCTGTTCGAGGGCCGCTCATCTGATTCAATCATTCGACCTTCTCATCCTATGCCATTTCTTCAGAAGTACTCATCTTTACACTTAATTTGCCTGTTGACTTTTGAAATAGGGCTTTTTGTACTATTGTACTATAAGAATTGATGAAGGAAATGGTTCCAGAGAAACCTGGGAAGATTAGTATGCACTGATGCAGAGTGAAATAAGTAGAACCTTGAGAACAATGTATACGATAACAACAATACTATAAAAATTAACTATTTTGTGAGACTTAAGAACTCTTATCACCTCAATGATCAATCGTGATTCCAGAGGACCAATGATGAAAAATGCATCCCACCTAATGAAGAGGTGATAGACTAAATATGCAGAATGAGATGTACCTTTTTGGATATTGTCAATGTGAGAATGCTTGACTATGTACATTTACTATGTGCGTAACAAATGGGTTTTACTTCTTTTTCTGGTGGAGGGGGAAGTGGAAGGAGAAAAATAAATGCCTGATAACTGAAAAAAAAAAAAGCTTTTTAAAAAAAGAAATAGGTCCTACTGATCTGAGGTTTCATGACTATGGAAGTAGCCAAACTTGAGTTGTTCAAGGAAGATAAAAGAGTTGAGGCTCCTTTCATTCTGACCTCCAATTCATTCCATGCTATGCTAATTCAAAATACCTTTGTGGAGAGATGATGGAGAGGAGAGGGAACCTGTCTGAGATCCAGAGGGGGTCAATTAGGGCAAACTGCTTCTGCTCTGCATTTGCCCTCCCTTTCAATTAGTCAACATGCATCTAATAAGCATCCATTATGTACCAGGCACTGTTCCATGAATTAGGGATATAAAAATAACAGAGAAAATACTCCTTGCCCTTAAGGAGATTACATTCTAATTAGTGAGACCAACATGTACATATATAGGTATATACAAGACACATACAAGGAGGAAAAAAGGTAGATTGTCAAGTCGATTCAATAAACATTGATAAAGCACTTATTATGTGCCACAAGCACTGTGCTAAGTTCTGGCAATACAAATAAGGAAAAGAAAGACAGTCCTCGACCTCAAGAAGCTTACAATCTAATGGGAGAAGATAGCATGTAAAAGGAAGCTGGAAAGTGGTGGCTGATTTTAGAAAAACATGAAAAAACTTGCATGAAATAATGAAGTGAAGTGAGCAGAACTAAGAGAATGTTGTATACTATTACAGCAAAATTGTTCAAAGAATAATTGTGAACCCTCAAGTAATTCTGAGTATTATAAAGACTCAAATCAACTATAAAGGACCTATGAAGGAACATGCTATCCACCTCCAGAGAAAGAACTGATAAATAGAAATATGCATAGTATGGTTTACATATTTTTCCCACTTAATAGTATTTTGGTTTTTCCAATTACATGTAAAGATAGTTTTCAACATTCACTTTTATAAGATTTTGAGTTCCAAATTTTTTTCTCTCTCCCTTCCTTCCTCCCTCCCCAAGACAGCATGCAACCTGATATAGGTTATATATGTACAATCCTATTAGACATATTTCCTCATTAGTCATGTTGTGAAGGAAGAATCAGAACAAAAGGGAAAAACCATGAGAAAGGAAAAAAAAAAGAGGAAATAGGATGCTTCAATCTGCATTCAGACTCCATAGTTCTTTTTCTGGATGTGGATAGTATTTTACATCATAAGTCTTTTGGAATTATCTTAGATCATTATATTGCTGAGAAGAGGCAGGTGTATCAAAATTGGTAATTGCACAATGTTGCTGTTACTGTGTACGGTGTTCTCTTGATTCTGCTCACTTCACTCAGCATCAGTTCATGTAAATCTTTCCAGGTTTTTCTGAAATTTGCCTGCTCATCACTTCTTATAGAACAATAGTATTCCATTACATGCATATCCCACAACTTGTTCAGCCATTCCCCAATCGATGAGCCAATCCCTTTAATTTCCAATTCTTTGCCACCACAAATTTTGTACATGTGGGTCATTTTCCATTTTTAATGATCTCTTTGGGATACAGACCTAGTAGTGGTATCACTGGATCAAAAATTATGCACAGTTTTATAGCCCTTTGGACATAGTTCCAAATAGCCCTCTAGAATGGTTGGTTAAGTTCACAACTCCACCAACAATGCTTTAGTGTTCCAATTTTCCCACATCTTCTCCATCATTTATCATTTTCCCTTTTTGTCATTAGCCAATCAGATATGTGTGAGGTGGTATCTCAGAGTTGTTTTAATTTGCATTTCTCTTATCAATAGTGATTTAAGGCATTTTTATATGACTATAGATAGCTTTAATTTCTTCATCTGAAAATTGCCTCTTCATATCCTTTGACCATTTATCAACCTGGGTACATACGTTTATAAATCTTCATCAAATAGTGGCATTTTCCAGTGCGGAGTGGGGAGGGAGGGAGAGATGGAGGGAGAGAGATAGTTTGGAACTTAAAATGTGACAAAAATAAATAAAATAAAATTATTGGGGGTGGGACATGGTGATACCAAGGAGAGTTCAAACCAAGCAGAGCTGCAGATAGAAAGTGGAATTTGATCTGGAAAGTCCAAATCCTGCCCTCTATTGTCATGGAAACCAGAGATTACATGACGTGGAAGTGAAGGGCACATTCTCAAAATGCAGAAGAATAAATGCAAAGGCACAGAAATCAGAGACTGTGCACTGTGTGTGAGGAACAGTCAGTAGATTAATTTGTCTGGATGGCAGAGTTTGTGGAGAGAAGAAATGGATAAGAAGATTGGAGGAAGGGGGCTTTAAATGCCCAATAGAGTTATGTCTTCAATCCCTTCAATCCCTCATAAGGAACCACTGGTAAGTTTACTGAGTGGGGGATGTAGATGACATGCTTAGACCTGAACTTCAGGCAAATAAATTTGACAGTTGAGTAGAGAATGGATTGGTGTGGGGAAAGGCTTGAATAAAGGAAACCATTTAGAAGGCTGTTGTAATAGTCCAGCAATGACACGAAGCTAAGCTCATATCATATCATTAGATTTGAAAAAATTTTATAGATATTTAGGAAAAGCCAACTTGGTCCTCCATAAGATAGACCCAGGGGCTGTAAAACAATCAGGATATTTTTTATCCTTAGCAAGTGTTAAAGGAGAGGTGACAAAGACATCACAGTTTGACTTTGATAGACTCTCATAACCTACTTTCTCCCTCCCCCCACCTTTGAGTCTTCTTGTCACCCACATCTTCCACTCAGTAAACTCACCAGTGGCTCCCTATTAACTATAGGATTGAAGACACCCATACTTCCCTTTCCTCCACTACTGTGCAATCCAATGGCACTGGCCTCCTTATTCCTCACACAAGACGTTCCATCTCCTGACTCCAGGTGTTGTTTTCCCTGACTGTCCCTTATGCCTGGAATGCTCTCATGCCTGATCTTCATCTGGTAGCTTCCCTGAATTCCATTGGATCCCACCTAAAATCTCACCTTCTGCAAGAAGCCTTTCCCAATCCCTCTTCATGCTAAAACTCCCTCTAGGCCTATCTATATTTTGTTTGCATGACATCTTCTGAAAACCTCAGAACACTGGGATTCTTCACATCTCTCTCACTATACATCTACCCCACATGCATGCAGAAGATTCTTCTCTTTCCTTTCCCACCACCCTGCCCCATCAAACTCCGGCACAATGAAGATGGCACTCTCAGCAGCATGCCAAGCCCCAAAAAGAGGCACTAAAATCGTAAGAGTACCAAAAGAAAGGAGAGAATGAGGTTGGGAGAACAAAAGGCACTACATTCAGAGCAGTCAGAGATCTCTGGGAATAGGTAATAACTAAAAGTCTTGGCCTTTGGTTAACTCCTCCCAAAGCTTACAGTTTGGCAGATGGAGGGGACTAATCTGTAGGGAGGTGGTCTGGAATTCAACTCAACTCTGACTTACCCAAATAGAAAAAATCCAAGCTAACTGACGCACTTCTTTGCTTACTATGGAGTACCTTCATGGAATGACTCTTAGGGTTACCATATATGAATTTAGACCCAGCAGACCTAGTAAGAATAATCTCCCACCAAACACAAGACGGAAATTTCAGAGGGCCAGAAAACAAGGAGCGAGCATTGACCAGGTATATGATTAAGGTATTTGGGATGGGAGGGGCACCAAGAGGTTGAAATAGGAGCACTGAAAGGGAGGTGGGAAGGTTGGCCAAAGCCAAGAACTGTTTTACAGTTTTTCGGGGAGGCAATTCTGCCGGCTGCATCTGTTACCTGACTTTGGGAAGGTGACCAAGAGGACGTCTGTGTCTTGAAACTGGAAGTTGGTGGCAGCGCGCAGACTCTCCTGGGTGTGCAGATATCCTGGCATGGAGATGCCCTCAAAGACTTCAGTCACCTTAAACTTAGCCATGAGAGTAGCTCCTCTGCAGGGAAAGGCAAGCCCAACATAAGTGTTAGAGAAATTATCTGAAAAGATCTACTGCTTGGGGAAGGTCTCTAAGACTGGCAAATCTAGTTCTCCAAGTCCCTAGGAAGAAGATGGGAGTCCAGAGGATCCAGTCTTCAACAGATTCCAGCTCTGGGTGTAGAAGGTTGTTCTATGCTGCCAATGCATTACTTAGCTTGTCCAGTATAGTTTTATTATCTATTTGCTCCTATAACTCATTTAACTTTTTCTTCAAGAACTTGGCTATAAAACTTTGCATACCTTTTGACGCAGCAATACTGCTACTAGGTCTATACCCCAAAGAGATCAAAGGAAAAGGAAAAAGACTCATATGTACAAAAATATTTATAGCAGCTTTTTTGGGGTAGCAAAGAATTAGAAACCAAGGAAATGCCTATCAAATAAGGAAATGGCTGAACAAATTGTGGTATAGGATTGTGATGGAATACTATCGTGTTGTAAGAGATGATGAAAAGAGTGGTTTCAGAAAATCCTGGGAAGACTTATATGAACTGATGCGAAGTGAAGTGAGCAGAACTAGGAGAATATTATACACAGTAGCAGCAATATTGTAACAATAATCAACTGTGAAAGATTTGGCTATTTCTGATCAATACAATGATCTGTGACAATACATCACAAAGCCCATACACTATAACCAGACTGAATGTATACCAAGAATGCTGGGCTGAATCAATATTAGGAAAACTATAAGCATAACTGACCATTTCAATATGAAAAATAACAAAAATCATATTATTATCTCCAAAAATGACAAAAAAGCTTTTGACAAAATGCAATACTCATTCCAATTTAAGACAAAAAAACCCCAAACATTAGAAAGCATAGGGATAAATTAAGCTTTTCTTAAAATGATAAGTAATATCTATCTAAAATCAAGAACAAACATTTTATGTAATAGGGATAAACTAGAAGCCTTTCTAGGAAGCTCAAGGTTGAAGCAAGGATGTTCATTCTCAACATTATTATTCAATATTGTACTAGAAATGCTAGTTAGAGCAATAAGACAAGAAATTGAAGGAATAAACATATGCAACAAGGAAACAAAATGATCACTTTTTGCAGATATATGATGGTTTACTTGGTTGGAGAATCTTAGAGAGTCAACTAAAAAATTAGTCGAACAATTAACAACTTTAATAAAGTTCCAGGATATAAAATAAACCCACACAAATCATCAGTATTCTTATATATACATCTATATATCTATAGATGACATACATAATGATATGTCTGTCTCCAGCAAGAAGCGATAGAAAGAGAAATTCCATTTAAAATAACTGCAGACAGTACACAATACTTGGGATCCTACCTGCCAAGACACAGGAACCACATGAACACAATTATAAGAAATTCTTCATACAAGTAAAGACATCTAAATAACTGGAGAAATTTTAATTGCTCATAGGTAGGCTGATCCAATATTAAAAAATGACAATACTACCTAAATTAATTTACTTATTCAGTGCCATATCAAACTACCAAAGAATTACTTTGTAGAGCTAGAAAAAAAATAACAAAAATCATCTGGAGCAACAAAAGATCATACATATGAAGGGAATCAATGGGAGAAAAAGCGATGGAAGGAATCCTAGCAGTACTGGATCTCAAACTATACTACAAAACCATAATCATCAAGACAATTTGGTACTGGAAAAGAATTAGAGAGGCTGATCAGTGGAATAGATTAGGTACACCATATACAGAAACAAATTAACAAAGTCACCTAGCGTTTGATAAACCCAAAGATCCTAGCTACTGGGGCAAGAATTTACTATTCTACAAAAACTGTTGGGAAAACTAGAAAGGAATCAGGAAGAAATTAGGTATAGGCCTGCATTCTACTCTCCAAAAAATCTTTCTGAAGAATAATTTGGAATAAATTTCCATTTCAAGAAAGCCTATATCATAAATATTTTTGGTAAATTTAAAAATTTCAAACTTAAGTACAAAATAAGAAAAGAAAAAAGAAACAAACTTAAATACAAAATAAGAAAAGAAAAAAAAATTGCCATGTGCACCACAAAACATAAGATATGATTAAAAATATAAAGCAATAAATTTTCATTTCAAGAAAGCCTATATCATAAATATTTTTGGTAAATTTAAAAATTTTAAACTTAAATACAAAATAAGATAAGAAAAAAGAAACAAACTTAAAGACAAAATAAGAAAAGAAAAATAAAACATTGCCATGTACACTACAGAATATAAGAGAGGATTATATAAAGCAATAAATTTTCATTTCAAGAAAGCTTATATAATATATGTTACACATTGTGTTCAGACCTGTCCATCTTTTCGTTACTTCCTTGTAGGTTTTATTTTGTCCTCTGCTATACACTTTCTACTTTGTTCTTTTCCCCCACTTCCTCCCCATCTCCCCAAGAAGGCTGGATATATGTACACACACACACACACACACACACACACACACACACACACTCACTCATATGGACATATATACAAACATATATACATAAATACATACATTTACATATATGTACATACACGTAGATATCTATAATCACACACATATATGCACATATACATTCATATGCATCTATGTAAGACTGCACTACATTTATTTATCCTCTGTTTCTCTGAAGGTGGATAACATCTTCCATCTTAAGTCCCAGTCTTTTCATATTTTTCTAAATCCACCAACTTATTTTCTCCACCACAGTAATATTCTCACTTTATATTGTCTAGTTATTTTAAATAGTGTACAAGAATATTGATTTGGGGAGGGAGGAAGGGAGAAAATTTGGAACCCAAAGTTTTAAAAATACATGTTAAAGAAATTGTTTTCACATGCAACTGGGAGATAAGAAATACAGGAAATGGGGTACAGAAATCCATCCTGACCTACAGGAAAATTGAAGGGGAAGGGATAAGAGAAGGGGGGGAGAGATAGAAGGGAAGGTAGACTAGGGAAAGAGGTATTCAGAATGCATGCCATCTTGGGATGGGGGAAGGGACCAGATGGGGAGAAAATTTGGAACTCAAAATCTTGTGGAAGTGAATATTGAAAACTAAAAATAAATAAATTCAAATGTAAAAAAAAAACATCCATGGAAAGAAAAAAGAAATGTAGAAATGAATGGGAGAATTGAGGGGAGAAGGCTGATGAGTAACAATGAAGTTTACTCTGTCTTGTCCAAATCCTTGTTGCTGGCATTGATGGGCTTCTAGGTCACTGTCTCTCCTCAATATGTGTATCCTTCCTTGGCTTACATATTTTTTAATTAAAAGTTTTGCATTTAAAAAAATAAATTAATTTAAAAATTTGAGCTCCCCCCAAAATAAATAAACAAAAATTTAAAAAAAGAATACTGATTAATATGGCTGACATATAGTGTAGTTTCCCTATTTTTCTCTTTTGATTAAATCTCTTAGCTTTAACTTTGTCTAAGATCATGATTACTACCCCTGCTTCTTCTTCCTTGATAAATTCTACTCCTGATCTTATTTTATGTTTGTATGTATCTCTTATTTCCTATCCCTCATGACTCCTCTATTTTACTTCTACTTGCTACCTTGCCCTTCTTATTACTTAACCTATATCCCACCACCACCAACATCCCTCCCTCATCCTACCTCCCACCCCTTCTGCTTGCTCTCTTGTTTCTATCTGAATTTAGGAGACTTTTATAGCCTTCTAAATATATGTATATATATGTGTATATATGTTGTTCCTTCTTTATCCCATTGATCTGGACACCTTTCTATAATCCCCCCTTATCCTATTCCCTGACTCCCTTATTTCTTTATAAATTTAGAAGACTTTTATTCCCTCATAAATATATTGTTTTCTCTTTAACCCAGATCCGATGTGAGTAGGGTTCCTCTAAAAATCCCTCCCCCTGTCCCTATCCCCTTAGTTTTTTATTTCTTTCCGAATTTAGAAGACTTTTAGACCCTTCTAGATATATATGTATTGTTCCCTCTTTAACCCTTTCCCAATGAGAGTAGGGTTCCAGAACTACCAGCTCTCCTCCCCCATCTAATTCCTTTGTGTCACTTCTCCCTCTCACATCTCATTTGCATAAGATAATTACTCTTTTTTACCTTTTCCTAGATGGTGTTATTTTTTAGAATCATATCATACTCAATTCTATCTTTTCTTTTGAACTACCCAATTACTAATTACAACTTTAGACATACAGTTTACATTTCCTTGCATAAAAATTACAGTTTGTCCTTATTGAGTCCCTCGTAATTAGTCATTGATGTTTACCTCACATTTCTCTTGGATCTTGTTATCAAATTTTCTATTAAGTTCAGGTATTTTTCCAATAAAATCCAGAAAGTCTGGCAATTCATTGAAATTCCATTTTTTTTTTTCATTCAGGATTAGGTGTAACTTTGCTGGGTATGATATTTTCAGCTGCAACCCCAGTTCTTTTGCTCTTCAATAGAAAGTGTTCTAAGACCTGTGGTCTTTTAGTGTTGCCACTGCTAAGTCTTGTGTGATTATAATTGTGGCACTGCCATATTTGAATTTTTTTTCTTGTTTCTCATAATATTTTCTCCTTGAGCTGGGGGTTTCAGAATTTAGCTACGATATTCTTGAAGGTTTTTCTTGTAAGATCTTTTTCAGGTGGTGAGGGAGGGAGGGAGGGAGGGAGGGAGAAAATTTGGAACCCAAAGTTTTAAAAACACATGTTAAAAAAATTGTTTTCACATGCAACTGGGAGATAAGAAATACAGGAAATGAGGTATAGAAATCTATCCTGTCCTGCACGAAAATAGAAAGGGAAGGGGATAAGAGAAGTGGGGGGAGAGATAAAAGGGAGGGCAGATTAGGAGAAGAGGTGTATTTTTTCTATTTCTACTTTCCCCTCTTGTTCTGACACTTCAGGGCAATTTTCTTTCATCATTTCTTTTATGATTGTAAGAAGATTCTTTTTTTTTTTTGTGAGGCAATGGGGGTTAAGTGACTTGCCCAGGGTCACACAGCTAGTAAGTGTCATGTGTCTGAGGCCGGATTTGAACTCAGGTCCTCCGGACTCCAAGGTCAGAGCTTTATCTGCTGCACCACCAACTGCTCCTCTTTTTTGTTTTTTATGGTAGCTTTCAGGTAATATGATTATTCTTATGTTTTCTCTTCTTGATTTGTTTTCCAGATCAGTTGTTTTTCTTATGAGATGTTTCACATTCTCTTCTATTTTTTCGTTCTTTATGTTTTGTTTTATTTTTTCTTGGTCTCTTGTAACTTTGCTGGCTTCTCCTTGCCCAATTCTAATTTTCAAGGAGTCATTTTCTTCCTTCAGATTCTGGATCCCCTTTTCTAATGGGTTAACTTTTTTTCATAATCGTCTTATTTTTCTTGGATTGTTCTTATTTTTTTAAAAAAATTTTCCTCAATCTCTCTCATTTGATTTTTAAAGTCTTTTTTAAGTTCTTCTATGAATTCTTTTTGGGCAGGTAACCATTTGACATTACTCTTTGGGGTAGAAGAGGCTTTTTTTGCTTCAGTATCCTCCTCTGAAGACAAACTTCTCTTTTCCCATAGTAACTTTCTATGGTTGGGTTCTTTCTCATTTGCCTGCTCATTTTTTTTTTTTTTTAAATTTATGGCAACCTATTGTAATCACCTCTAGTCCTAGGTATGGGGGATGGTGTCTCTGACAGGTTGTCCTTCAGTTGTCCCCTTGGCCTGGAACCAAAATCAAGAACTCCACCCTCCTGTAAGTGTCCACAACTAGTGGCCACTGCTGGTGCACTCACTGGGCATGTGCCGGTCCTTTCTCACCCAGGGCCACAGCTTGGCAGCACAGCTGGGTCTGGTGTCCTTTATTAGCAAAGGTTTCCTCAATCTTCCCCCACTCAAATGCCCGACTCCTCATATTGTTTGGGAGGTGAAAATTCCTGTGACTGGGCTTGAGGTTACCTCCCAACTCAGCTCACTCGAGGGCTGGCTGTTTGCTGTTTCAGCAGAACTATCCTGGAGGTGTTTACACTTCATAGGGAGCAATCTATTCTCCAGTTGTCTGGGAGGACTACTGTTCTACTCCAACTCTTGTTTATTTTTACAGCCCTGTGTTTGCTGTTTTGTCTTATTTGTGGGGGAAATCTGGAGAGCTTGGAATTTTCTGACCTACTCTGCCATCTTCTCAGAATCCTCTTGCAAATCTTCCTTTCATCTCCCATTTTTAGAATATAATTGCTCCCTTTTACCTTTACCTACCCAATTTTGCTTTTTAGAATCACCCCACCATACACAACTCAGCCCCAATATTTCTTTCAAACTACCTTAATAATGGTGACAGTTTTAAGAATATTGATGACATTTTTATATACATATAAAATAAGTAAACAGTTTGACCTTAATGAGTGACTTATAATTAATCTTTAGTGTTTTCCTTATGTTTCTTCTGGATCTTTTATATCAAATTTGCCATTGAGTTCTGGTCTTTTTGTTACAAATACCTGGAAGTTTTTCAGTGTGTCAAATGTCCATTTTTTTTTCATTCAGGATTATACTCCACTTTGCTGGGTAAGATATTCTTGGACACAACCCCAGACTTCTGTTCTTCCTCTTTTCCTTTCCTTCTAAACCCCCAACTCGCCTCAGCCTCCGCACCTCTGGCTCTCTTCTTCAGCTAGTAGACTCCCTGAACTCTGCCTCGTAGCTGCCTCCTTCCCTCTCCTCCTGACTCACCGCCTCCTTCGTCTGTCCTCTCCATGCAAGATGTGCTTAAGTCTTCACCCCACTTCTCTTCCCCCTACCCTTGCCTTTTCTACCTTCCCTGTTGGATGGAGGAGTCCTGCTTGGGGACTGGGGACGGCTAATGGCTCTTCCCAGAACCAGTTAGGACTCAATTCTGTCCTCCTAAGCATCAGAGGCAAGGGGAGGTAAGGAGAGGAACAGGGTGTCTTAAACTCACTTGGCCAAGCAGACAGAAAGGACTTTCCTCCACTTTCAGCAGTTCCTGTCCGAACTCCGTGTCTTAATTCAAGAAATCCAAAGTTGCTTCTTGGAGAAGAGAGCAGGCTTGACTTGGGTTGATCTGCCGAATAGGTACGTTTCAATAGATAAGAGACAAAGTTGCTGGAGGAATTCCCTGCCTCCCTCAGTTTTCCAGGCTAAGCAATTGGCCGAGGGCGGGGGACGTGGAACGGGGGCGGTCTGAATTCCTACACTCTCTTTTCGGTCACACCCTTCTGAAAAATACCAAAACTTAAGGCTCTTTCCCTCCACATCAGAATGTAAACTATGGTCTTGAGCTCATTCCTACAAAACTATGTCAGAGCTACCTCAAACCATATCACTGTGCAACTTGTTCCATAACTTTAAGACGTGTCCTGGCAGGCTACTCAAGACAGAAAGTAAGAACCTTGTAAAAAGTAAGTAGTAAGAGCCCAGAAAAAGAAAGTAAGAGCCCAGGGGCTAAAAAAGGAAGACATGGAATTGAAATAGATAGAAGTGCAACTCTTAAAGCGCACTGATCAACAACAGAATTCTGAGCAAGCCAGTCACTTCTCTGTGCTTCAGTTTCCACAGATGGGAGTGAAATCTGAGTGTCCTCACCTCCACTCTAATTGTTTTTTTTTTATTTTGAACTTAAACACAAAAAAAGAATATTTCCATACACATATTAGAACAGAAAAAGAAAATTCTATATAAAACCATAAATCTCTATTTATGGCAACTGGTTTTTTTTGTTTTTTAAAGAAAATCATCTAGTAAATTCTATACATTGCTCTCAAGATGGTCCCATTGTATGTGTTGGTTTCTGAACTTCTGTTCTCTCCAGTGAATTTAGGAGAATGTTACAATGGCTTTTTTTTTAATCACTGTTGTTAACCCTTTCTCTCCCTATCCCTAGCCCCATTAAAAAAAAACAAAAACAAACTAGAAAGAGACAGAAACAGAGGGACGGAGGAAGGAAGGGGGAAGGGGGAAGGGGGGAGAGACACTGAGAGAGAGAGAGAAAGAGAGAGAGAGAGAAGAAGGAGGGAGGGAGAGACAGATAGAGAGATAGAGAGAAAGAGGGACAGAGACAGAGACAGAGACAGAGAGAAAGAAACACAGAGACAGGAACAGACACAGAGAGACGGAAGAAGGGAGGAAGAGGGAGAGGGAGGGAGGGAGAAAGACAGAGACAGAGAAACAGAGAGAGAGAAAAGGAGGGAGGGGTGGGAAGAGGGAGGGAAGGAGAGACACAGAGACAGAGAAAGAGACAGAAACAAAAAGATAGAAAGAGAACCCCCCTGTAACAAATAAACACAGTCAAGCAAAATGAATCTACACCATAGACATGTCCAAGAATGTCTCTCTCTCTACATCTTGTGTCTCTCATCTCCCAGGAGAAAGTAACATGCTTCATTATTGGTTCTCTGGAGACATGGCTGGTCGTTGCTCCAATCAGATTTCTAAGTCTTTCAAAATTGTTTTTCTTTTTATGTTGTTGTTTTTGTAAAAATTGTTCTCCTGGTTCTGCTCTGGGCCACCCTGCATCAGTTCATACTTTTCCAGGTTTCTCCAAAGTTGTCATCAATTCTTGTAGCACAACGAGAGTTCATTACATTCATATTCCTGCTTTGTTCAGCCATTTCCTAATTGTCTATGAGGTGATCTAAGGCAGAGAAATAATTTCTTTTTTAAGAAATATTTTATTTTTTCCCTATTACACACAAAAACAATTTTTTAACAGTCATTTAAAGAAATTTTGAGTTCCAAATTTTTTCCTTCCCTCCCTCTCTGAGACAATAAGCAAAATGATATAGGTTATATATGTGCAATCATGCAAAACATATTTCTGTATTAGTCATGTTGTTGAAGAAGACACAGACTAAAAGAAGAAAACACAAAAAAGAAAGTGAAAATATGCTTTGATCTGCATTCAGATTCCATCAGTTCTTTTTTTATTCCAAACTCAGGGAATAAAACAAGCATTTCCATACCATAGTGGAATAGAAAAACAGATGATTGCACGTAAAAACTGCAAATCTGTTATGTACAACTTGCTATTCCTTTTAAATATATAATAAAGTTATCAAGTAACTCTTTTTCCCCTCTCCCCTGCCCTAGAGATGGCTACCATTAGACAGAAATACACACACACACACACACACATATGTAAAACCATTCTATATATACTTCTATTTATCAGTTATTTCTCTGGGTGCAGATAACATCTTCATAGATCCTTTGTAGTTAATTAATAAATAGTCAAAATGACTCAGTTGCTCAAAGTTGTTCTTAAAACAATATTGCTGCTATTGTATACAATGTTCTCTTGGTTCTGCTCATTTCACTCTTCATTATTTCATGTAAGTCTATTTTCTAAGATCAGCAAGTTCATCATTTCTTATACCTTGAGATATCATTTTACACCTATCAGATTAGCTAAAGTGACAGTGCGGAAATAATTTCCTGTGGAATAATGTGGAAAATTGCATGTGTTATAATGAACATGCTGCAGTCAGTTACATTTGGTGACTGAGATGAAGAGGATAGTAGCTTTTTGAACTAGTTTCATCTTGTGAATACACTGGTTATTTTTCATAAGGAAATTTTATATATAACCATGAACAATCTCTCCACCTAAATACCCAGACACGGTTTTTGAGAGTGTCTCACTGACCCAACCTTTAACAGCTGCTCTTTCTCCATGTACATCTTTTCACACATGAAGAACAACATGTGTGTGACTTGTTATCTCTAGTTACTCTTCCCTAAAAGCCAAAAAAAGGGGTTCACTAGAAGGTTAGCTGCAATTAACTAACCCTTTAATCTGGAATGTTTTGAGACAATTTGTAAAGGGGTTTAGGTTTGTTTAGAACGTAAATCCACATGTGTTGCCATCTCTGAGCATATCACTACAATGAAAATATTATTCACATCACCATGAGATCTAGTAGACTTGAATAACAAACAGCTCTCGTTGCGAGAGAACTTAGTAGGTATTACATCCAAGTAACAGCCCTGAGTAAAACAAGGCTGACAAATGAAGCCCAGCTTACCAAATTTAGAACACTTTCTACATTTTTCTGGAGTGGCTGCAGTGCTGAGAAGCACCATGAAGCTGGTAAAGGTTTTGCAATCAAATCTAATCTTGCTTATATGCCTCCCAAAGGGAGTGAATAGCAGGCTTATGACAACACAATTGCCACTTGCAGGAAAACACCATACCACCATCATCGGTGTATATGCTCCTACCATAATGAATCGTTGATGAGGTCAAAAAAACATTTTATGAACACACAAACTCAGAAGAGGACAATAATGTCAAAACACCTACGGGCAAAACCCCAAATTAAAGTGGAAAATGGTCTCAAGCCCAGAAAGAACTCATGGAAGAGCTCAAAAAGGAGCTTAAAAATCATATAAGAGAGGTAGAAGGAAAATTGGGGAAAGAAATAAGATTCATGCAAGAGAATTATGAAAAAAAAAAAGAGTCAACAGCTTGGGAAAAGAAGACAACTGCTTAAAAAGTAGAATTGGCCAAATGGAAAAGGAGATATAAAAATCCACTGAAAAAAAACTCCTTAAAAAGTAAACTTGGCCAAATGGAAAAGGAAGTACAAAAGCTAATTGAGGAAAACAACTACTTAAAAGTTAGCAATGGGCAAATGGAAGCGAATGACTCCATGAGACATCAAGAATCAATTAAACAAATTCAGAAGAATGAAAAAATAGAAGAAAATGTAAAATACCTTATTGGAAAAACAACTGCTGGAAAATAGATCCAGGAGAGATAATGTAAGAATCATTGGACTACCTGAAAGCTATAATCAAAAGAAGGACCTAGACAGCATCTTTCAAGAAATTATCGAGGAAGACTGCACTCATATCCTGGAACCAGAGACAAAATAAACAGCCATTGAAAGAATCCACCTATCACCTTGGAAAAGAAATCCTGAAATAAAAACTTCAAGGAACGTTCTGGAAGGCAAAGGAGCTAAGACTACAGCCAAGAATCACCTACCTGGGGAAATTAAGCATCATACTTCAAGAGAAAAAATTGGTCATTCAATGAAATAGAAAGATTGCAAGCTTTCATAAGGAGAAGACCAGAATTGAACAAAAAAATTTGATCTCCAATATCAAGACCCAAGAGAAGCCTAAAAGGGTAAAAAGGGAAAAGAAAACGTAAAGGATTCAATGGAGCTGAACTGTTTACAAGATGATACTTGTAGTTCTTAAAAATTGTACCACTAATAGTACAGCTGGAAGGAATATACATAGAAAAGGGTATAGGTATAAGGGGAATTTGAGGATATGACAAAAAATTAAAGGATGAGAAAGAGGAGAATACTGGGTGCAGAAGGAAGGGAGAGGTAGAATGGGGCAAATTATTTCCATGAAGAGGCACAAAAAACCCTGTTATAATGGAGGAAAAAATGGAGGAGTGGGTGATGGACATCGCTTGAACTTTACTCTCATTAGTATTGGCTCAAAGAGGGAATAATATACACAATCAATTGAATATTGAAATCTATCTCACCTGACAGGAAAGTAGGAAGGGGGGGAGATTAAATGGAGGGAGGAAACTGACATAAGGAGGGCAGATCAGGGGAAGTGGTAGACAGAAGCAAAACTTCAGTGAGGAGGGAAAGGGTGAAAGGGTGAAAGAGAGGACAAACAGGAGGGAAAATAGGATGGAGGGAAATACACAGTGAGTAATCATAACTGTGAATGTGAATGGGATGAACTCTCCCCTAAAACAGAAGTGGATAGCAGAGTGGATAAAAAAAAACCAGAATCCTGCAATATGTTGTTTATAAGAAACACACTTGAAGCAGAGAAAGACACAGAGTAAAGGTAAGGGGCTGGAGCAGAATCTATCAGCTGAAGTCCAAAAAAAAAAAAAAAGCAGGGGTGGCAACCCCGATCTCAGACAAAACAAAAGCAAAAATAGAGCTAATTAAAAGAGATAAGGAAGGAAACTACATCTTGCTAAAAGGTACCATACACAATGAAGTAATATCAATACTAAAAACACACTAAAACACACACACACACATATAAAATATGCCAAATGGTATAGCATCCAATTCCAAATCCAAGTTCATGACCAAAGAAGAGATAGAGAGCATTATGAAATGTAAAATAGATAATTTTGATTATATT